ATTTTAAAAGTTAATAATTCTCATGGCAATTTTAGGTGTTCCTTGTTTTTTTCTTTATGCGGTGAAAATCAGAATAGCTGCAGTTTATAAATGAGGCCCAAATAGATTTAGTGACCTGTCAAGATCACACAAGTGTGTATGTGATTTTGAGCTTAGACCATCCTGGGTGTAGTTGGACCTACGGTTATTTTGTCTCTGTGGCAAAACTGAAATTCATATACTTGTCTCAGAATGGCTCAGCGTTTACACTGAAGCTGAGTAAATTTCTCAGTTTGAATTATTTTTATTCATATTTTCATTGTAGTAGGACGCAAATCGTAGGCACTATAGATGATCAGGAATGTGACTTTAATTCTCTGAGCATCTGGATTTTAATACAAACTCCTAAGCACGTTTTCTTAAGGACATAAAATCTCTACAGGAAGAGGGTCCCAGACTGTCTGAAGTACTTGGTGTAACAGGCAAATCGGTGTGGTCTTTTGGGTATTGTTGGAGTGATGGGAAATGGGGACTATAGAGACACAGTAGAAAATGAAGACAGGAAATGATTGGATGTTCCTTGGAACATTTTGTCTGATAGTTCCATAATTCCATTTTGCTCTCAAGGAAACCAACTGTAGTTAATTCTGCCATCTAAGTTACTATCTTTATTTACTATATTTAAAAAGATAAATATTATTTTAGTAAGGTGTCTTTAGCATAGGACTAGTAGGTATGTGTGTAGTTTTCTCTAGACTTTGGAAGGTGGAGAAACTACTTTTAAGTCATTTCATTTTTCAAACCAGCTCTCGTGGGTAGATCAGAGTTTAGAAATAGCTGAAAGTGGGATGAGACAAATGGGATGAGACAAATTGGCAGGTACTGGGATATAGACAAAGATAACCCATGAAAGTGTCTTGCTGTAGTATCTGAAACAAAGCCGGTGTCCAATAATCATATTATGTGTCCTTGAACTTCGCTAACAGCACTGTGAGATAGATGTAAATGCCTTTGTTTTAGAGATGAGATGATTGTGGTTCCAGAGGTTAAGTTGTCCACAGCCCATACTTCATGTCAGAGCCAAACCCAACCCAGGTCTCTCTTCCAGTGGAGCTCAAGTAGGGGTGTTGTAGAGCTGTTAAAGGACACTCTACAGCCCCAGGAAGGCACTGAGTGGACCCTGGGAGTGGTGCCCCAAGCTAGCTCCTAGCCTTAGCTTCCTGCTACCTTGCTTTGTAAGTAAAATTATGAATGGAAGTCAATCATGTGTAATCTCTACCCTTGTAAACATTTTATGTCTGTGTTTATAGTGGCTGTTAAATTGGCTAGTTTAGACTTATTCTTTCTTTTGTCCCAATTCAGAGGTGTTTCTTAAAGAACCCTCTCTGCCTCTTGATGGAGAGGAGCGCAATCTAAATGTGGCTTTTAGTTGTGCTTTCCATATATGTGCTTTCCTTTTCATTTTCACATTTGTGAAATTAAGTTAGAAGTCTTTGTTAGACTTCAAACCAAAGTTTATTGTTTGTGTTTTGCAGCATGTAATTTGATATTACTAAATATTGTAAATGTTGAACCTTAACAGCACTGCCAAAATAATAGGAAGTGATAGCATTTTCTAAATAGTTAACAAAGGCATATCAAATCAGCACATTGCATTTTCTTTTAACGAAAACAGAAATCTGTAGATATCGGTATCCAGCTGGATAAAATACTGCTACTTTGGCTTCTGTTCTTTGTATGTATGAAGTTCTGTTTAATAAACATGTATTGTAGGTATACGCCATACCAGTTGCTACTTGAAACTTTGGGAATAGATAACCTAAGATGGTCTGTGCTTCTTGGTAATGCCTAGTTTGGATTCAGGAGCTCACTGCACACGCAATCTCCAAAACCAGTGATAATGCTAGAGTAACATCTGTCAGTGTCATGGCCACCGCCCTCAGGAGTCACCGAGCCCCATATGATGGGGCTGAGGTCTCCCAGAGGAGATAACAGAAATCTTGCCGTGGTCTCAAAGAATACATGAGAGAAAGAGGAGGAATTTCCAGGAAAGGAAACAATCTATGCAAACTCTAGATAATTGACTTCTTGCAATGTGTTCTGGCAATGTGGAGTAATTTGTTGTAACTGGTAAGAGATAGAAAGGTAGATTGGGCAGAGTTGTGAGAAATTCATACGTGTAAAGAGCTGTGAGAGAGTTCACCAGAGGCAGAGTGGAGAGGGGAGCAGCGGATGTGTCAGGAGAAGCCTGCCATACCCTGTGGTCACCTCCCTGGCTTCAATCAAACTCTTGCTAGGTTGCAGCTAGCTTCACAGTGCTGTGATTTAACCTGTTGCACTACGAGGGAGGGCCTGTTTTGAATTTTAGCAAGCACCCCTGAAATATTGGTGATTGTGTTGTATCTTCATGGTTACGAGCCTTAGTCAAAGATTGGATTTTAGAATATAGTCCACAGACTGGCAGCATTAGTCTTTTGGGAACTCTTTAAAAATGCAAATTATCAGACTAATCTCATACTTACTGAATTGAAAGTCACTAGGACAGGACAGTTTGCTCTGTAACGAGTTCTCCAGATGATGCTGATGCATGCTAAATTTGGAAGCCTTGAAAATCATTGTTCAATGTTTCCCACATGGCCTAGGGAAGGTTGGTTAACTGTCTTAATTAAAAACTATTAAGTAGGTATGTTGTAATGTCACAGACAGTAGTTTGAAATTGGATTTAAGGTTTACAAATTATATAGACAATACAATAATTGTAGAGTATTGCATTGGCGCTGACTACCCAAGGCATATGTTAGATGGCTATTTTTTTTTTTAAAGATTTATTTATTTGTACATACAGAACTGGG